AACCTTGAATACCTTCCCTCACTTAACCAGTAAAGACGACTTATTACAACAGAAGATCTAAAATTGTGTCATTTGACCAGATATTTTCAGGACTGACAATAGGTTGAAATAGCTACTAGACTTCCACCAGGTTTGATATGTTGCTAGGCATTTCAAGTCTGAATATATTTTTCAATAGCTTTATCTAGTCTGTTCTTGAACGCATTCATAACCAGAGCATCAACGATGTAATTGGGTATATTTAATTTGAAATGGTTTGAGGTAAAAGTGGTTAAATAATTTGTTTTCAATGTATTTCAGGTCAATAAATAATGACAATTACTACAAATTTAGGTCACTTCAAATGTGACCTTGCTGGATGAATATTGGACTTATGCTACTATTCCCAGAATTGCACCATCCAAATCAATTTACTGTATTTTGTATTGGATTGTACTGTTTTGATGACAATATGTAGTGTGAAAATTGAAAATGTTGATAAATAAGGAGTTTCTAATTTAAAATTTGTTTGTTGATAACAAGAAATGTTTAAGGGGACCGTCTACCCCTCCGGAAAAACGTCTACAGTTATTATCCAATCATCATGTAACTTCACATACATATGTAAAATGTAAAAAAATAACATTTTTCTCTTATGAATTTTTAGAAAAAATTGATAGAAAACGTGAAATTCATAGAAAACGGCCAAAAACGGGTACTTTAGAAAATCTATCTCCTATAAATATTGTCCTACAACATCGATACACAAATCCTTCGATTCGTAAAGACCATACCTATCGATTCAAACATGGGTTTTTTATTTTCCCCATAGTTTTTTTATGTGAGTTTTTCAAATTTTTCCACTTTTTTCTTCACTTTTTCCCTTCTCCCCCATATAAAAAACGAACCAGACAGAAATTAAAAAAAGTGATGTTCAAATCCATAGGTATGGTCTTTACAATTCGAATGGTATATGTCTCATTGCTGTAGCTTTAAAACTCTGTGAGATAGGTTTACCGTGAGAGCAGTAGGAGGTTTACAACAAGCTTAAAAAACTGCCGTGTGGGACGTAAACGGACGTAAAAGTTGTAACGTAGCCTAGATACTGTAATTAAGCCTCGAACCAAGTCAGCGAGGCATAGAGCGACTGGCAGCACACATCCCACCTCGCTGTCTTGATGGGCACTGAGTGTGTTGGCCGCTATACGCGATATTTGTAGTGCTACTCTCGAATTATCTCCCATTCAAATAGTGAAGGCTGCCCCCCACCGCCCCCATTCTGCGACGCGTCCTGTGCCTCAAAATGCAGGTAGAGAGATGGTTCTGATACCATTCGACGCGTCAGAAAGTAAGCTTTAAGATGAGTATAAGCACCAGAGGCCATACTTTCAAAACTAGCTAAGTGAACGTAAGTATTTACGCTCTATTTTCTTGTCTGTGACCGGTGGATTTTGCTTGAGAGGCCGTCAATGATTGGTAGATGAACTTACAATCTCTTAACTTTTTTGAAAGTATAGGCCCAGATAATGCCATAATTGGCCACTTTACGTCAGTCTTTCCTTTTTAGTGTGTCCAGCCTTTGAATTAATCCCATAGACTTTACTGAAGGGCCCTCAAAACCGCCCCCCTTAGGGAGCTGTCACGAAATGATTTTTCGACGTAGAGAGGATTCTGGTACCGTTCAATGCGTCAGAAAGTAAGCCTTGAGATGAGCACAAAAACCGGAAGACGCCAAAATTGAAAATTTAGGGGTAGACGGTCCCCTTAAACTAAGTAAGCCTGGGTGGAGAAAAGTTCAATCCCAGCTCAGAGCGCCAGTTTATTGTAAGAATTGGCAAGAGGCCAAGCTGTTAAGTAAAAGCAAAAATTGGAACTGTGAGTTGCATGTTTGAGACATCAACAAGCTGTGAATGTTCTGAGATGTTGAGAATTGGCAATAGACCTATGGCCTGATGAGTGCTGAAACCACTATTATTTTAAAATTATTAATCATTAACTTTCTCTGTGCATGTTACTGGCTCCTTTCAAGCCATTTATTAGCAAAATCCATCCCGAGTCTGCTCAGTCCATTTTTTATCTTTATTTTAATATCCACTCATAACAATGCATTATTTTCTACTTCTCAAACTTTTAAAATTTATACATGGCACTCATTAAGTTTGGCAATTATCAGAACTGTTATTGGGATTTTCCTAATTTTTAGAATTTTCAGAAAAGATCCTCCCCTTGGTAAAAAAATTTATACCACCATAAGCTTGAGCTTACATTAAAGGTGTGATAAGCTAATTTTTGTTTTGTAGGTCCAGCTCCACTGTGGCATTGTACCCAATTAGGGTAATCTGTATCAGGATCACTCGTAAGAGCCACGGGCCTATTTCTTCAACGCTGACACTTCTATTCTATTCTAAAAGAGTGCATTGCATATTGAAGTTTCATAATACATTTCTAAGTTGACAAAGCTTTATCGTACATTTGATTAATAGAAAAAATCCTGAGTTCAACTCCTAAGTCATTTTTTCAACAAGTTCTGGGTTTAATGCTCTTTTAGAAGAACTAGTTGATGTGTAGTTGGTTGGATATAGTAAATAATTATATGAACTTGGGAATTAATATATTTAATGTACCTAGTAGCTTGTCAAAAGGTTCAGGCACCAAATTGTGTAGTAGGACTTTAGTAAACAAAAACAAATATCCCAAACTGTGGCTACTCCCAAAATATTAACCTTTCTATTAAATGTGGACATGAAAGATTTGTATAAGGTGAGGAAATCTAACTAGAATAAATAAATATAAAAAACCATTCTTAAAAACCACATTTTTCTGGTGGTTACAAAACTAAAAACAATGAAATAATACAAATAAAAAAACTTGAAAACCACGTTGTTTTAAACTAAAAAGAAACGTTAACTTTTTCAGTGAGTTGTCCTAAATTTTATTCTTGACCTAAAATGAAGTCTAAACTTTATTTTTTCAAATCTTATGCTGAGAAAACACAAAAATGTTGGGTGGACTTTGAGACACGTTGGGCGGGCTCCTCATAATATGTGATATTTAGCTCTTCACAGGGCCCGCCTAACATTTTTTGTGTTTTCTCAGCATAGGATTTGAAAAAATAGAGTTAAGACTTCATTTTAGGTCAAGAATTATATTTAGGACATAACACTGAAAAAGTTGATGTTTTTTTTTGTCCATTAGGAAAACATGGTTTTTAAAATTTTTTTCATTTGTTTTATTTCATTGTTTTTAGTTATGTAACCACCAGAAAAATGTGGCTTTTAAAGTTGTTTTTCATATTTATTTATTTTCTTCTTTTTAGTTTAGCAATTTGAGCAATCCAAATCATTTTCCAGGGTTGGCAACTGTGGATGTTTGACAAAAAACGCAATTCACAACCATGAATTTTTAAGGTATTTTTTATTTAATTTTTTTAACTTATTCCTTCTGATGATCAAATCTTGAATTATTAGGCAGCATAAGCATGCATGCCAAATTTCAAGTTGCTAGGATCTTCAGAAGTGCTCTAAATAAAGGTTTGAATTTTTGATGACAGACAGATGGGCACAAAGCGAAAAGAAGAAAATGATGGATGGAGTTCCATTAATTTGAAGTAGATGAGGAGCTGGAATGTTGGTAATATTTTGTGTTACACTATAGTCAACTTGTACTGACCAATAGAAAGAAAGCCAAGCCATAAATGCTCATAAAATTGACCAGTGTAATATGCTATTCATCAATAAACAGTCAATATTACAAAATATTGAAAATTAATTTTCTAGTCATCAAATACATAATAGAATGCAATGATGTCATCTTTGATTACACTACATTGACTTGTTCCTAGTTCTTGGGCACACAGCCACCTCTCAAATTTTGACCTCTAGTTGCTGTCATGAAATCTCTAATTTACTGCTCATATTGTAGAAGCAATCAATGTATACACTTTTCTAGTCAAACACTTCCAACATTTGCAGTTGGATCTTGAAAAATTAATGACATGAATTCAATAACTCGTGCATTATAAACTCATTCTAGAATGACATCTGAAATTAATGAATAAAAAAAAATTGAATGCAGAAAATGTGCTGTTCTAGAAAAACTATCTGATGCCCTCAGGCAAGTATGATGTATCATAGTTTGAATATTTCTCCATGTAAAGCTTAGCAATAGATGTCCAAGTGCACTTAGCAGGGCAGCATTCCATCCCTTTACCAAGCAAGTGTATTTTTGTTGTGATATTGATACAGCACAATATATATAATAGTGCTTTTGGTACAATCAAATAGGATAATGATAATAATAGCGGTTTCAGCATTTAGTAGGCCGTAGGCCTGTTGCCGATTCTTAACATCGCAGAACATTCACAGCTTGTTGCAGTCTCGAACTCACAACTCACTGCTCCAATTCTGCTGTGCTTAACCGCCCGGCCTCCTCGCCGATTCTGACCAGAAACTGCCGCACAGAGCTGGGATCAAACCCGCGCCTCTCTGCTCCAATCTTGGCACTCTGAACTGTAGTAACCACTGGGCCATGGATGAAATGAATGATTGGCTGAATATATTTATTAAGAGTAGGAAATTATTCATTATTGAAGAAAAGGTCAGGAATTATGAGTGAAATTATTTAATAGAAAAGGATTTGCAGTATAAAGCAAAATCTCAGGTTAATGCTCTAGTCACGAATACATATACCATCATTAATATATATTGAATATAGAATCAATTTTTATTTTATTTACTTTAAATATAACATTTCTTCAGTACTTCCATTTATCTGTAGGTTCTTGAATTTTAAGATAGTCATTCAATGTGGGAACATTGAACCTGCATTAATGGGTGGAATGTCCAAATATTAAAAAAATATGGACACCCTGTTGGTGTCAATATTTTTAAAAATATTTTATTGATAACCCAGGGTACCTATAGGTTATTCCTACATTCTTTTGGATAATGGTACAGGCAAATGTAGGAATCGGTCCCATTAATATTATTTTTCAATTATTTCATTTACATTTTTATTTTCAGATTATCAATTGTTCATTGCATTCCATCAAATGTAAACTTGGAAGTTTGAAAAGATTAAATCAAAAATTTCTCGAACAGTTTGCTTTGATTGAATATTATTTTTGATTCAAATAAGAAGACTAATACTCCCCCATTGTTTAAAATGGCCACCGCAATGGCGGTGTGTGAAGTTTGCGATGAAGATTTTGACTCAAAAGACCACAAGCCACTTTGCTTGACTTGTGGTCATACCTTTTGTGTCTCCTGCATAAGAAGCTTACCTGCAGTTTATGGAGTCAAGAGCTGTCCTAAATGCAGGAAGAAAATTGATAAGCCTATTAATGGATTGTTAGTCAACTACATCGTGATTCCCTCGAAGAACAAGGCATGTAAAAGGAAACGATCCACAGAGTCCGAGTGTCTCTGCTCTCAACACAAGAGGCAGCTTAATTACCTGTGTGTAAACTGCACTGAATTCGTCTGTTTTACATGCACAAGAGACATTCATTCAACATGTACTATAGAAGTGTTGGATGAACTGCATCAGAATGCTAATGTGGACTCGATGGCCATAATACGGTCCTTACTGATGGACAAAATCTGCAAACTGCAGAAAAAGAAAAGGGTAACTGGGGATACTTTGACTTTGATGGATAATTTCATAGATCTGAAGACTGATGTAAAGAGATGGGATGATTCTCTTCAAGACCAAATAGTGTCTACCAATTCAGATCTCGAGGCTTGGGATGACTTGGCCTCCTGTGTTGACAAAGAAAATAGTGTCAAGGAAATTTTACATCGCCTGAAATCAGAAACTTCTGGCAATACCAGTATGTTACCTGAAATCACCAAGCTGCTGAATTCTGCAAACCAGATTATTAAGAGGCTGGAGGTGAGTGAATTACCTTGGATTGGATCCAATATCTGATTGGATTAGCTTATTGCTATGACAGATCAGGAACTTTTTCTTCTAATTTTAGCAATCAGGCTTCTTGCCAGAGAAATACTAAGATCTAGAAAAAAGGTTTAATCTGCAATACTGATAATACTCAAAACTTGGTAATATTTGGTCCAAAAGTAAAAATTATTCAATGAGGTGCATTTCTAATAACTGTGTGGTATTGAAAACCGTAATATCTTGTGTATCTTAGACAAATAACTGGTCATGAGCCAGTTAATCTGTACAATATATGTAATCAGTAAATCACTCTTTAGACTTTTAGAAAATATCAGAATTTTCATATTGTACCCACTGAACATAATTTGCGTCCTATCAATATTATGCTAGTGTTAAAATTTCAATTTTTGTATCTTAATAATACCATGTTCTGTCTGTATTTTCCTTTGTGCATCCCTTCTTTTTCTTTCCAGTGACGAGCAAAGAGCCAACTTGTCAACGAATGGTCAAAGATACCATCGAGGAGACGTCACTGTAACCGTGTAGAGGGTTCTACCTGGCAGTGGACTGCTGGGGGATGTTGAGGGAGGACCTGGCAGTGGACTGCTGGGGGATTGTGATGGAGGATCTGGCAGTGGACTGCTGGGGGATGTTGAGGGAGGACCTGTCAGTGGACTGCTGGGGGATTGTGATGGAGGACCTGGCAGTGGACTGCCCTGACAGTGGACGTTCATTTAATTCCTCTTTTTATTTAGAAGTGTTGGCATGATTCCCCTCTTGCTTGAATATTTTATTTTTGAATTATCCTTTTTTTGTGACGTGTTTTGGTTTGCACTGCGTAATTGCGGCAATTGGCTTTGGTCAGAAACGTAGTTGGGCCGAACCTTTCTTGGTGAAGATCTTTCCGTTGTTCGCCCAAGTGTCTTCCCTTCTTTTAACGTTATGTTTAGTCGGACAACGCAGGCATGACTTTTATGCCTTCGGAGAGACTTAAAGGATGTGTTCTGTTTGGGCTGCATAATTGCGGTAATTGGGCTTTGGTCAGGCACGTCGTTGAGGCCGAACCTTTCTTGGTGAAAATCTTTTCGTTGTTTGCTCAAGGGCATTCCTGTTTTTTTCTCTTAACGTTGTGTTTAGTCGGACAATGCAGGCATAACTTTTATGCATTCGGAGATATTTTTATCTTGCGTTTGGTTTGGGCTGCGTAATTGCACTTTTATGATTTTCTAGACATCAGTCGCTAATGGAGGGGTAAAGCGTGCGTGGTGAAAACGATATTTGATTTTGATGTTGGTTCTTGAGCTCTTTTTGTGGCTATAAGGACCTTGGTCAATGATGCGTTAGGTTGGGCTTTTGTGAAGTGATCTTCGTTTGCCGTCAGAGGGAGCGTTAATATTTTTCGTGTAATTAGTGTGGAAAGGACTCGCCTTCAGTACCGGAGGAATTCGACTTGTTTAGCTAACAGAGTTTTTTTCTTGTAACCCATGGGTAATTTATTTGGTTCAGAAACCGGCACCGTTTCTATAAAACTTCTGGAATATCACTTTGACCGATAATTAGATATAATTCTCACTTGTGGTAGAGACTACGAGTTTAGTTCACTTTCAACGAACGCTTATCACAGTTTCTCGTTTAATTTCTGCAAAAGTTATGAAGAGTTACATTTCAATTGATCTAGTATCAATAACTTACAGCCACGGGTAAATGTTCTTGAAATCATTTCTCAATCAACCAGAATTTTGAGAATTTTAAACTTGTTACTTCAAACCTCTGAATTCACTATTCATTACTAGGCTCGCGATGCGGGGCTCCAGGGTAACCTGGAATAAAGTTCAACTTTTGTGCCTTTAAATCTTTTATTTATTTGAGCCTTCAAATACAATGGATACTTATTTCTGACCTTGAAGTTCTTTTATCCCGCTATAGGTTCGATGCAGCTTATGGGCCTTGGTAGTTCACCCTGCACGCGATAACCTAAAAATTTTTAGTTCATTTTTTGTCGCGATGTCTTTGACTACTTGGTAGAGTGAAAGACTACTCTCCTCGTTACCGATCTTAACCTCAGTCTTCGGTCTAAAATTAGTCTTTATTCCAGCTTATCCGGATGAGAACACCGCGAAATACTGGTAATTGAAAGAGGTAATTATCTTCATAAAAAATGCTGAATTCGTTTAGTCGAATTTTTCGGAAATTAATGTGCGAACATTCCCTTAATTTCTTTAAATAATGAAGTGAATGGGAATACACTATTTTTAGGCAAACTCATTGTCGTGGCTTTTTTTAAATTAGGAACAATATTTGTCGTGTAGGTGCAAGCAATTGATGCTTTAAACATGAGATCACGTCTGATACAACAGTGATTTTAAATGTAGTAAAAAATGACCCTGTGGATTACCATTATAAACCATAAAGTTGCAGAAAGATTTTTCAATCATGTATTGCTAAAGGGGACGCCTGTCGGAGACCACCACTGCCGTGCTTCGAATGGACTATCATGATCCCTTCCGTGAACAACGTAGCCTACAACGCATCTTGCCTGTAACATTATCTGCCGCACGCCACCAGACAGATCACATCCATTGAATTAGATCAATCAGCCCACAGGAAAATAAGCCAGGCGTCGTATGGCCCAGCGTCATCTGCCAACACGCGAAAAATTTTACACCACCCGGACGGAGCGCGCCGGAGCCGTCCGTATCTGTCCCGTGTGTCGAATCAGCCCACGGTCGAACGGCCACGCGTACGACGATAAATTTTGGAACAGAACTATGCTATCTGGAACCTAACCCCAGATGTTGTGAGCTAAAAGTTACTTAATTTAGCGAAGCTGCGGAAGTCACTCGCCGGCGAACGATAGCGTTTGGAACAGAACTATGCTTTCTGAAACCTAACCCCGGATGTTGAGCTAAAAGTGACGGTCTGGTGGTGCACGGCAAGATGCATGCAGTTCCACTGGCGACCTGGGCTGGTTGGTCGCAGTCCGTTGTCCGCAAGTTACAGTTCGAGCTAAAGTCAGGGTATGAAGTGATGATTCGATGCAACGTTCAGTGGTGCATAACCATTACTCTCTGGGCTATTCCTTTCAGAATGTGGTGGCGTAAAGCTCCTAATATTTAAAGCAAGATGATGTCACGGGCTGGTTACCGACGGATGGCTTAATTCGCGGCTGATTGGTGGTCATCCGGAAATAAGCTAGGCGTTCCTTTCAAGGCTGATTGGTGCACAAATTTAGTGGTGCACGGCTGCGTACCCTTGCTAAAGTAAACACGTTCCAGTGGGACGCCTGTCGGAGACCACCACTGCCGTGCTTCGAATGGACTATCATGATCCCTTCCCTGAAGAACGTAGCCTACAACACATCTTGACTGTAACATTATCAGCCGCACGCCACCAGACAGATCACATCAATTGAATTAGATCAATCAGCCCACAGAAAAAAAAGCCTGGCGTCGAATGGCCTAGCGTCGTCTGCCAACGCGCGAAAATAATTTTACACCACCCGGACGGAGCGCGACGGAGCCGTCCGTATCTGTCCCGTGTGTCGAATCAGCCCACGGTCGAACGGCCACGCGTCGTACGACGATAAATTTTGGAACAGAACTATGCTATCTGGAACCTAACCCCAGATGCTGTGAGCTAAAAGTTACGTAATTTAGCGAAGCTGCGGAAGTCACTCGCCGGCGGACGATAGATTTTGGAACAGAACTATGCTTTCTGACACCTAACCCCGGATGTTGAGCTAAAAGTGACGGTCTGGTGGTGCACGGCAGGATGCATGCAGTTCCACTGGCAACCTGGGCTGGTTGGTCGCAGTCCGTTGTCCGCAAGTTACAGTTCGAGCTAAAGTCAGGGTATGAAGTGATGATTCGATGCAACGTGAGTGATGAGAAGTCAAGTTTCAGCCGTGGTCGAGAGCGGACTTGCATCGTATTCCATCCAACGCACCGGAAACCTTACTTTTTTTCTAAATAGTTGGCCGAAGACTGAGAAATATATTAAATGCAAGAATTTCAATCTAAATGTGTCGGCAAGATCTTCTGAAGGCAAAAATTTGGCTACTGAAGCGTCGCCAAAGATCTTGCAATATTCATCCACTCTCTGCACAGTGGTGGGGTTGCCAAAAATTGAGCTTAACTACTGAGTCTGAAATGCTCTTTTCCTTTATTTTCTCAATACCTGCGTCCTGCGCAAAAGATTGACATATTATAGACAAAGTAACAGATCAGTATGGAAAATTCTCATATCCTTTGATTGTACTGAAATAACTGAATGATCTCTTAACTAAAAAATTCAGACACGCTACTTGCTAGACGTTCATACTGGATCCCCCCAAGTGCCCCAACTGATACCTATTGAATTGTGATGATAAATGTGATCTACTACATTATGAGCTTCATTGGCACTCGTACTACTTGATTCAAACTTGAATGGTTTATCATTCAATCAACTTGCAGTGTGGAATTCTAGAGGGATAATAAATTAACTAGTACACATAGCATATTGGAAAGCAGGATCTGAAAGCTTGGAAAGGCCCGGAATTTTACACTTTCAGTCCATTATTTACATATGCTATCCTTTTCCAGAATTCCAGCTGTGATTGGTTGATAGGATTGTGATTTTAGCCCCTTTCAGCTTTCCAGCTGTAGTTGGATAATGGAATTGTAATTTTATCTGCTTTCTAGCTGTGATTGGTTGATAGGGATGCTTTCAAGCTGTGATTGGTTGATGGCAGGCTGGAATGCTAAGAATGGAAGTTCACTTATAAAAAAGCTTTCCACCCAAGGTGAAAAGCTTTCCTTCGATACAGTGCTCTGCCATGTTACTGACTATAGGTAAATGTAAAGATGGATCATAAGTGGACAAACTGTTTCAATTGTATAGTACATCAGGTTTGTTATAGAATAATTTAGATGTCTCTTGTTTGATAGATATTTTTTATTTTTATTTTATTTATTGGATTTTTAGAAAATTTTTGTTCATAATGATCAAGTTTAAGTTAAGTACGGTATTTAGTTAACCAGTACTGTAGCACATATACCATATTTGGCAGCGGGGCTTATGGACACAACCAATCACAGCTTGAAAGCATCCCCATCAACCAATCACAGCTTGAAAGCATCCCCATAAACTAATCACAGCTAGAAAGCAAAATAACATTACAATTACATTAACTGATCACAGCTGGAAAGCTGAAAGGGGCTAAATCACAATCTTATCAATCAATCACAGCTGGAATTCTGGAAAGGGATAGGATATGTACATAATTGACTGGAAGTGTAAAGTTCCTGGCCTTTCCAAGCTTTCAGGTCCTGCTTTCCAATATGCTATGTGTACTGGTTAATTTAATATCCCTCTAGAAAGCATCCCCATCAACTGATGGGGATGCTTTCAAGCTGTGATTGGTTGTGCCCATAAGCCCCACCCCCAAGTATGGTATATGTAATACAGTACTAGTTAACTAAATACTTGACTGAAACTTGATCATTACAAACAAATGGCCTGGAAATTTTAAAAAATCCATTAAATAAAAGACAAATAAAAAATATCTATCAAACAAGTGACATCTAAATAATTCTTTTACATATTTAATGTACTAGTATAAAATTGAAACATTTTGTCCACAGTCCACTTTTGATCCACCTTTTCAATTATAGTCACTTTAGTCATTCACCTGGAAGAGCACTGTGGGAATGGGAAAGCTTTTTAGCTTGGGTGGAAAGCTTTTTAATAAGTGAACTTCCATCCTTAGAATTCCAGCCTGAATCAAAGAGATTCAACTTCTCTTATTTCAACAGTATGTTGGAGCTAGGGTAAACGCGGTATATTCCGTCACATTAAGGACGCATCGAGAAATGAAAAACTATAAAAAAATAACCATATGCGTTACTCAAGTTCTGTTTGCTTTAGGTGACTCTCAAAACACCATAGTATGCGTCGGCAACGATGAAACGTCACAAAATGTTGTCATATTTATGTAAAAGCCTTTAGAATGCAAACCTACCAAATCCCTATATTCCGTCACTGTGTGTGGCAATATTCGGCACATGGTGAGGCGTATTCCGTCCACGCTTCAAATTCTACTGATACGTAATGCCGTCATCCACGTGTTCGAATTCCGGTCGCTGTGTGAGCTGTATTGGAATACAACACGGCTTTGAATTAGAACACTAATGAATATTGAACACTACTTAATTACGCTTTTAATTAACAACTATTAAGCTTTTAATTGAGCAAATTTTAATTTTTGTACATAGCTTGGAACGATCTGTGTGTCCAATTCAAGTTGTAACGGAATTAGTTTTCAAGTTGTAACGGAATTAGTTTTTGTGTCTAAATCCATTTCTCAACTTGATCATCTATTAATTTATTTACCACTTGAAATCAGCAAATACAAGTATACTTAATGGATTCCTAATATATTCACAGACGTATTTAAAATTCTCAAACCATAATATTCTTCCTATACAAACAGTTATTCACTATTTGGTAGAGCAAGGTCAACTGTCAAATTTGACACATTTTTTGATGATCTCACTGGGTAGCGTGCATTGTCTCTCTTTGGATCTCAATATTTTCCCGCTAGATGGCCAAGACCTAGTGTTTTGGCATTAGTTCAACACGCAAATGTATGACATCACCATTTCAACCATCAACGAACGTATGGAACTAAAACAAAGCTTAATATAAAGGAAAAACTAGAGAGGTGACAGAATTACCCATGATGACGGACTGTGTTTACCCTAAGTGAAATGGCAAGGTTATTAAACGTGGCTAAATTAAATGATGAGTTAATTAAACCCAAATCCGTTAAATAAGCCATTTTGAAATTATTAATAACAGCTGCACAAATCTGCCTCAGGCACTCATAACTAATTGATGATCTGATCAAGCAAGCAGGC